ATTTTACATACATATTGAAAGCTACATACCTAAGTATAATATAATTGAAACAAAATTTTAATTGTCTCAGAACATAGGATGGTGTTTAGTCCTAATATCCATAAATTAAAGGCTAACATGACCTTATTACTGCCTTGTCATTTGTGAGAATTTCAGGCAACTCTGGCAAGGCTTATGATTCTGTTACTGTGTTCGCTCAGTGAATATGCTGCTTTTTAGATCTCAATAGCTGAAAGAGATGGAGGAAGATCATCCAGAACATCTTGCTACTATTAATAATGTGCTCAAATGGCAGCAAAAACTAGAAGTGTATTCAGTAAGATTACATTTTAAAAACAAAAGTTAAAGAAATATAAGCAATTATAAATTCAACTTTATGTAAGTCCCTCTTGATTTCCAAACTCCCTTCTTGTTCTAAATTTTATTTTACGATCACATATCATCTCCCTCCAGATTTAATGGTTTCCTATCACAGATTCATTTTTCCCCTTGACTTTCTAATTCCTCTAGAACACATTTTTTTTTTGTGATTTGCTTTCTATTACATGGTAGGACATTAGTGGAAATAATGTATTCCTAGGAGTCACACAGACCTAAATTTGAATCATGGCCCCAGAAGTTGCTGGCTCTCTGATTATAATCATCTATAAAACAGGAAAAGAGAATAATAATCATGTTAGGGTTATTGTGAGAATTAAATGAAATGACATGCAAAAAAAAATCTAGCACTTAGGCTACTCATCGTTAGCTTACTATACACAGATGCACCTATGAAAGTGTTCTTCATATGTTCATTAGGCATGCTGCGTGAGCTGGGAAGGGTTTGAAGAAAATCCCATTTATTTTATTTAATTATCAACTTGTGAATGTATTTCAGAATATTTTAAAAAATTAATTAGTATTCTCTCTTTAACAATTCAGAAAAAAATCCATTATTGTTAGTATTTAGAAAATGTATGCCATCAGTATGAGTGTTTTTGTGAGGGGCTATTTATCAGCTCACATGGTGATATATGCATATAGCTATCTTTCCAGTGCTGGGATCAAAACCAGGGTATTGTGCATATCTTGCTCATCTCATTGAACTCCTTTCCCAGCTCTCTTACAAATCAAAAATTTTAGTTTTTGATGGTTGTTTCAGTAAAATTTTTTGAATCTCAAATATCACATATTTTCTTGTGCAGAACTCCACTTACTGATTTTTTTATCTTGCTGTGAATATCTCCACCCAAAGCTGCAATATTGACCTAGATATGATGACCTTTACTTAGTTTTCCTCATTGAGATACTAACTTGATGTTTGAGCATAGGGTTCAGGTATGGCAGGTCACTGTGTTTGTGAGTGATTTTAACTATTGAGACCAGTCCTCAGACGGTGCTTGTAGCATAGTCTACAGTTGGGTGACTTCGGTTTGAGTGTCAAGTAACCTAATTCTTTGATCTTTAACATTTATAAAGGTGTATAATAAAAATACCACTCACCTTATGAGGTGCTTTGAAGAGTTACTATCCTTTAAATGTGTTATCATCATAATTTTTGTTGGTACTAATGTTATTGGTAATTTATATCGTCGATAATGATAATTTAGTATTACTTCAGCCTCTACACCCTGCACCTTCCCACTCTTAACATGGTTCAAAGACACATACACACACATGACTTTCTGTTAGCTATTAGGAAAAGTGAATAATTTATACCCATTTGACAGTTTTGAAAATTACTAGCATTTCTTTAATAGTTAACATGTGTAGATCATGGTTCAAAGACATTATGTCACTATGATCCTTGCCACCACTCTGAAATAAAAGGAGGATTATTATTACTCCTGTTTGAGAGAAAAAAAAAATAAGGTTTTGGAATTTAATTTAGAGGCTCAGTGTCACCTAGCTAATAAATGAGAGCAGAGTTTAGCACCCATAACTTTGTGAAGAAAATATTGAATCACAGTTGCATTCCTCTCTGATATGTGTAGGGACTCAAGTTGCAAAGAAACTAAGGGCAGAAAAATTTTCTTCTCAGTCAGTTTCCATAGCCCTTCCAGAAATTAGTCAGAAACCAAACTGTAAAATACCAGATGGACGGTTATTACACACTTGCCATATTAAGATGCAGAGCCCTTTGAAGGTCATCTTCATCATTTAGTCTGTTGTGATTATGTTGTTTCATCGATGATGTAACTATTGTTGCCTTAATGACACCCTATGGTGCCACACTAGAAGTAAAAGCTTTTATAGAAATTTAAACAGCAGAAGCAGCAAGGGGTTGATGGACTTGATGAACGGAAGCTTTCTTTCATGGAGCAGGAACATGCATAACTACTCTGTGCTTACGCTAGAAGACAGGAAGGCCACCCTTCAAATACTTGTTTCTGCTTCTAAGCAGAATGTTTTCCATTTTTATACAGAGCATTAGCAGAACTAAGAAAACAATACAACTAAAACTTTAGGGGATGTAATAGTAGCTAACTCTGTTAGTGCAATGTGTTCTACCTCAATAAGCATCCCAAGTTCCCCATAACAGTCCATCAGCTAGAAATCTTTGGGTATAGTTCATCTTCATGCTGCTGCCTAACAGTTTTCTTTGTTACTGGATGAATTACAATTTTTTTCAAGGGGAAAGAGTAACCTGCCGGGAAGGATGGTAGGTTTAGTTGTAAATCATTTGTTCACCAGCCTTGGGCTGAAAGGACAGGTTTCTTAACCTTTTTTTTATAATTTCACTTTTCTTCACATAAAGGAGGTGATAGAATCTGCCCTGTGTATTTGTATAGCTGTTAGCATTTCTATAAAGTGTACATGTTTGGGAGACCTAAGGCTACATTTTCCTTTAATTATTTTTCTATTGAAAAAAAATGCATGCTACTGGTAAACAGAAGAAGGATGAGTGAGAAGAGAGGAAATAAAAAAATAAAAAAATAAGTAGAGGGCAGAGTGAGGATTATATGACTGTGTTAATATCAATTCTACAATAATAATAATTATAATTAATTAATTAGCAGTAATTATGATAAGAATCAAAAAATCAAGGAAAAATCTTCTATTTACTCTTCCAGGGCTTTCTGTAATCTTTCAAATAAAGAATCAAATCAGTCAATTTCAAAAGCCTGCTTTTAAAAGTAAATGTTATACATTATTCTCCAATGGAAATCGCCAAATATTTTCATAAAACTAGACTGTAGCCTTATATATTTGGGGTTTTATTTTTAAATTATGAAGTTGAATATCTCTTTTATATGTAAAAGTCACTTATATTAATTTATTTTTTAACCTAACTTTCATTTCAGTGTTTTAGGTTGTTAGTCTTTTATCTTTCCTCTTTTTTCCCCCAAATTATTTTGTATTAAGGGAAATAGGCGATTTTCTATTATGTGCTTACAAATATTTTTTCTATATTAATTTATTTTTCTCTGCAAAAATGATGCATGCAGTACTTACTGAATATTTTTATGGCTATTGAATTTATGGTCTGATCTATTAGGGTCAAAATCCTACTCTATTATTAAGGTTTTTTATTATTAAAATGCTTGAAGATAATTTCCTCTCTTAAGCAGAATAAACCATTTGTTCAAATGCTATTTCTGCTGTGAAGTACTTAACAAAGAATTTTCTACATGGATTTCAAGAGCAAACCACTGCCCCCATTGAATCTCATACCATTACTTAGAAATAAGTGGTTTTAGAATCAATAGATATTTCTGCATTTTGAAGTGACACCAAATAATTTCTCAGTATTCTTATTTTCTGACACACAGCTCGCGGCAATTTTCTTTTTCAAAAAGAGGCAGAAGTTGGATTACATTTTCTCTTAGATGCTTTTCCCCGGAAACATATTTCTTGATGAATTCTTAACTTTCTGTCCTACAGGCCACCATATGTTCTCCCTTATGAAGGATCACTCGGTGGTCATCAGACTTTGGCAGAATTGGGTGGAAAAAAATGGCAATGATGTATTTACTTTAGTGCAACAGGGTTAGGCAGCAGAGAGTGCACACAGCTTGTATAATCAATTCTCTATCCAAGCTATCTTAGCCACCAGAGCTCATGCCTCTCACAAGCAGGAACCCTGTCCTCATCATCACAGAATGCTCAGACTATATTGCAATGCCTAATGGAGTGAAGCTGCTCCACAGGATGAGGACGAGGTAAACAAATGAAGGATTGTGCAAACAGGTTCACAGTCTCATCCCTGTCACTGATTCTATGTGACCTGATACCAGTCTCTCAGCTTTCTGGACCAAAAAGCAAAAGGTTTAGCAGAAAGCACAGTAAAAAACAGAGTTCATAGAGGTTTGAAAGAAAAAAAAAGCATTCTGAAAATTGGTACAATTCTATCAATATGCATTTAATAAGCAATATGGAATATTGGAAATTTTAATGCTAGGTGATAATTCCCTTCAATGAAAAATTTTTTTCTGACCTCATAAAATAGAGGTCAAAGAAAATTGTTCTTTGGGGGGAATTATATTGATTAAGAAAATATCATTATGTTGTCTTTACTATCCCTCTCCTTAATATAATTATGAAAAAGGCTTGGAGCTACCAGGAAGGCAGGTGCTATTGGCTGGAGAAGCCACACATGCAGTTTCATGCTTTCTCCCATAATATTGTCCTCCCACTGGATTATTAATCTGTATGTACATTCTAGAAGACCCTTGATGCTTTGGTAGCTTTGGTGTATTTAGTTCAATTTATCAGAATGATGCTCTGTTTACTTGATTCAGGAGATGAAAAGATGATACATAGATAGGTACTCATATCCCTATATGGAAACATTCAAAATGTTCTTGGCCTTCAAGTTAATGGCCACCCTGAGAGGACCTCTTGAATCCCCCTTATGAAGTTTGTGACCTTTTTGTGGGGAACTCACACAGGCAGGCACAATGATCATGCAGGAGAAGCAAGATGGCAGCAGGGGGAAGTAAAACTCAAAAGAGAGAAATCTAATGTATTTTAAAGCATATTCATGTTATAATTCTTAATTTTATCCTATTTCCCCGCAGGCTTAAATGTTGATTTGGCTACTTGGCTACTGAACACAAAATGAATAACTCAACAAACTCCTCTAATAATGGCCTGGCAATCACCAGTCCTTATAAGACATTTGAAGTGGTTTTTATTGTCCTTGTGGCTGGATCCCTCAGCTTGGTGACTATTATTGGAAATATCCTGGTCATGGTTTCCATTAAAGTCAACCGCCACCTCCAGACAGTCAACAACTACTTTTTGTTCAGTTTGGCCTGTGCTGACCTCATCATAGGTGTTTTCTCCATGAACTTGTACACCCTCTACACTGTGATCGGCTACTGGCCTCTAGGACCTGTGGTGTGTGACCTTTGGCTAGCCTTGGACTATGTGGTCAGCAATGCCTCTGTCATGAATCTGCTCATCATCAGCTTTGACAGGTACTTCTGTGTCACCAAACCTCTGACCTACCCCGTTAAGCGGACCACGAAAATGGCAGGGATGATGATCGCAGCCGCTTGGGTCCTGTCCTTTATCCTCTGGGCTCCGGCCATTCTCTTCTGGCAGTTCATTGTAGGGGTGAGAACTGTGGAGGATGGGGAATGCTACATTCAGTTTTTCTCCAATGCTGCTGTCACCTTTGGTACTGCCATTGCAGCCTTCTATCTGCCAGTGATCATCATGACTGTGCTGTATTGGCATATATCCCGAGCCAGCAAGAGCAGGATAAAGAAGGAGAAGAAGGAGCCCGTGGCCAACCAAGATCCAGTTTCTCCAAGTCTGGTGCAAGGAAGAATAGTGAAGCCAAATAATAACAACATGCCCGGCAATGACGGTGGCCTGGAGCACAACAAAATCCAGAATGGCAAGGCCACCAGAGATGCTGTGACCGAGAACTGCATCCAGGGGGAAGAGAAAGAGAGCTCCAACGATTCCACCTCAGTCAGTGCTGTGGCCTCCAATATGAGAGATGATGAAATAACCCAGGATGAAAACACAGTTTCCACTTCCTTGGGCCATTCCAAAGATGAGAACTCGAAGCAAACATGCATCAAAATTGTCACCAAGACCCAAAAAGGTGACTCCTGTACGCCAACTAATACCACCGTGGAGCTAGTTGGGTCTTCTGGTCAGAACGGAGAAGAAAAACAGAACATTGTAGCCCGTAAGATTGTGAAGATGACCAAGCAGCCTGCAAAGAAGAAGCCTCCTCCTTCCCGGGAAAAGAAAGTGACCAGGACAATCTTGGCTATCCTGTTGGCTTTCATCATCACCTGGGCCCCATACAATGTCATGGTGCTCATTAACACCTTCTGTGCACCATGCATCCCCAACACAGTGTGGACCATTGGTTATTGGCTCTGTTACATCAACAGTACTATCAACCCCGCCTGCTATGCACTGTGTAATGCCACCTTCAAGAAGACCTTTAAACACCTTCTCATGTGTCATTACAAGAACATAGGTGCAACAAGGTAAAACAACTTTGAAAAGAAGGGAAATGGTCAGGGGAGCTTGGGAAGCATTAAGAGGATAAAAGAGCTCCTACTACTAAATTCTCTGCCCTTGCACTTTATGGTCTTATTATGGAATGGAAAATAAGGAGCTCCACAGTGACCCTCTTTTCATGCCATAGCTCCAGTTTGGAAAAAAAAAAACTTTCACCTTATAAACACTGTCAGTTTAGGAGCAACGAGACAATAAAAGAGACATGTTGGAATTGTGCATTTAAGGAACAATCTAGGCTGCCGTACTCTCTTGAAGAAGGGCTTCTGAATCTACAAATCTGTCAGTCTCTGCACAAGAAGAAAAAACTATTCTTTTTTGTTGTTTCTCTTTCCTTTTGTTCTCATGTGTCCCTGTGAGGACGAAATGCCAGAATACACACTAATGTGGAGACTTCAGTATAGAGAAATGGACATTATACAACGCGCAAGTGAAGAAAAGAAATCCAAAAGGCTGCAGAAACGGTCTCCAGAATGTCAAGCAGATTCTCTTCTTTAGGTATGATATGATTTGGAGGACCGCAATACAATCAGCGCTTTTTTTTTCCCACCTGTCCCTTTTTCCATCCATGAAAAGCAAGCAAACAAAAACCCATCTAGATGACACCATTTATTTTTGTTATGGTCTAGGTTTGCACTTGTCCATTCTACATGGCATATGGTAGTACCTTTGGACTTTCATCCAGTCCATCCAGAGACAGCTGGAACACGGGCACTTCACTCCTCTCACTGCATCTTTGGCCTTCCTGGGAGTCAGAAATTCTATAAGGCTTTAATTCACTTATGATTCTACGTGTAGAACATTTCCTTCTACTCTAGCCTCTTATTTTAACAGAATAGTCTCCCCAACACATAAACATGCTTGAGAAATCAGAGTCATCCTAAAGTTTAGATTTCCTCAAATTAAAAAATGGACAGTCCAGCTGGAGAAAGTGTACAGATGCCAGATGAATTTTGAGATGAGAAGATAGAAGGTTAGAGTTGTTTTCTGTTTGAACCTGAATCTGCCTGACCCAAGTATGAAATGTTAACTTGTATAATACAACTCCTGATATTTTCATCAGCTTTTTTCATTGGGATTTCTAAACAAGGTTAGTTTACTTAGTCTCAGAAGAGTCAGATCTTCAATTCATTGCCCAATCATGGTGGATATTCAAATTATTATCAAATTAGGTTGCATAACTATACTAGTACCTGTTGGAAGGAGAAAAAAATAATAGAAATACTTAACTGAAAGTACATATTTCATATTCCTCAACTTGCCAACTTTCCCTAAGATTACTTAACACAAAATTCTCTGGTTTTAGTAGAATTGTAGTACTCTTTGTGATCCAAATGTTAACCAACAAATTCTCTAAATATAACAGAAGAATATAGGTGAATATTCCCTTGTCTCTTCTCACTGATTCTAGACCATAAAAAATCAGGTCAGGAATAATTATACTGGTATTACATGAAACTTGCCCATGTACAAACATGTTATTTTGTAGCACAAAAAGTGTAGTATAAATTGATTCACATTTCATTAGTTATTTTAAACCTTCATATATTTTCTTACATTATTCTCTATAGTCTTCCAATTATATTTTATACAGATGACCCAATGGATAGAAATTAAATTTGTAAATTTTATGTCAAATGTCATAAATTGCATTTATGATTCATGACTACACAATATCTTGCCCCAATATGATGTGGTAGGTCATGTGAGTTACATGACAAATTTGTCAGCCTTAAACCCTAGAACTTACTACTGTTATTTTATATAACTTTTCTCATCAATTTGGAGAGTTGAAGAAGGCGAACAAGAAGAAGAAAAAGAAGAAGAAGAAGCACAAAGGCAACAACAAAAGTTGTGAATTAATAAGAAGAAAATTGCCCACAATATTGTAGGTAACTTATTATTTATAAAAATAACTCTTTGGTTGAACAATTCCATTTGTCTACCCCCACCCAATATTTCATGTGTAACCTCATATTATCCATTCATATGGGCTCTTTTAGTCTATAAATAATTATTTTTAGTCTATAAATAATTCAGTGTAAACTTTTTGATTTTAAGTTCACATAGTTTTTTACATAGCATCTCTTCACGTTGGCTAAAATCAATTGAGTGGAAAGAACATCAAGTCAATGGGCTCCTTGTTTCCTGTAAACAAAATGACCCCTTGGCCTACTAGTTCACTTTTTCATTGGTTGTATCACCATGATGTAGACTTAGTTTAGATGGGATGAACCCTTTGGATCCCAAGATTTATGAGGGGCTTCTGTTTTGTTTGCTCTAACAACCCAAAGTATGTGAGTCAAACTGTCTCTGACTATCCATTGCCATTGTATGCATCTTCCTTTTGTTCTTGATACACACCGCAGCCACCACAACTTCGTTGAAAAAGAAACTGCCAAATTAAAGAAAAGAATCCAAGTGAGACTGCCATACCATGGAAACTAGAATCAGAAAAATGGAAGGAACACTGAAGGTGATTGGAGAAATATGGAAACCGTATTAAAAATTTATGTTAACTATTGTTGGATTTGCCTATTTTGGTGACTCCCCACCAGGGACCTTTTTTCCCTAGGGAAACATTTAGCATTGTATAGAGACATTTTTCTGCTGCTATAAGTTGGAGGAAGACACTTGTATTTAATGGGTAGAGCCAGGAATATGGCTGAACCGGTCACCGTGCACAGGACAGGCTCCCATCCCCTCCAAACTAAATTTATTTATTTTGAAATGTACATAGTGCCATGGCTAAGAAACTCAATTTTTTTTAAATAAAGGAATTCCTAGAATTAACTTTCTGTGAGTGGAGAAATAACTCACTTTTAGAAAATTATTGCAAATTGCTCCCCTGTTGGAAAATAAAAGTAATATCAATCAACAACATATAAGAAACATTTCTCTATTGACTCTGGAGTATTTGTGATTCAAAGACTGGGAACACAGGTCCTATGTATGTATTCAAAGTCACCAATCCATGCCTATTATTTCTAACATCTTAATGTTTGATCGTGATTGTCATGGAGTCTAGTCAGAAGGTTGCAGTTGTTAACCATCAAAAATGTTTGTAGTTCATATGGTCAATTTGTATCAAAGCTACCATTTTTCTTTTCAGAATAATGAGAAAATACAATTCAATGTCTCCTTAGCTTTTGCTGGGAACATCTGTATCTGTTAAGTCTTTATTGCTTCTTTCCTCGTAGCAATAATGTAAATATCCCAGAGTGGTCTTATAAGAAGATGAGATAAAGAATATTAAAAGGACCAGTACATTTCCTGAAAAAAGAAATAATTGACTTTTCACCAGTTCATCCTTAATTTAATCCCAGATCTCAATTGTAAGACAAAAGTTGTCAATATAATAAGTCACAAGAAATAAACTCTCTGGGTTGACATGTGGAAGCTGGAGGTCCCACGTACTCTGGTACTCTGCCCTTTGTCCACTCACTGCTTTTTGGTCTTGAAGAGATGACATTTTTGACAGATGGGCGTTCAACATGATGGCAACAGTTACTTAGTAATGCAGTCTAACTTGTTTTCTTCTACTGAGTTCATTGATAGTTGCCTCCCCTATCCAGATTAATAATATCCTTTCCAACAACCATAGTACTGGTGTTGCAAATAGATTAGGAAAGCACCCACAGCTGGATGAACCTGTGTACTTTCAGCATGTATATACAATACCATGCCCCTTCAATAAAAGCTTCTCTTAAAAGGGTGCACGCTGTAGCATGAACTGTGTGCATATTTAATATATCTATCTGGTATATGCTGTATGCTTATATATATACATACTATAAATACAATAATAAAATGTACCATAGAAATACATATTTCTGTATGCAAATAAATATATTATACACAAAATCTTGGTTTGTGGTATGGTGTATGTTTTTTTTTTCAGAAAAATAGTAGATTTTATGTGCCCCATTTTCAAGAAAAGCAGTGTTTGCATTTGAAGAAAGAAATTTTAGGACAGCCCAAATCCTGCTTATATTAAAATTCAGTGCTTTATAATCTTCAAGAAGCCTGGCAGTGATTTTAAATATCTCTTAGAGGAGTAAATTAATAAATCTTGCTGGTATCACCCCCACATGACAACCATGCTTTCTTCTCCTGCACTCTGACGGGCTTGTGATGAGAACCTTCCAGCTGGTGCAGTCCCAACAGCTGTGTTGATCTTGTGTCTGATTGCCTGATGAGGCTGCACCCAACTCGTTCTCAGAAAGTTTCACTCTCTTCCAAATTAACTGATTTTAGTGAAATAAAAAATAATCATACTGGGAGAAAAGGATGACCTTCAGAACATCTTTTTTATTCTGACAAACAAGGTAAAAAAATTGTACAAGCACTGTATTTTATAAACCACTCTTTCCACTGGGCTCCAATACAGCCTCCCATACATTAAACACCAAAAATTTTTAATGAAGTATAAAATTGCAAGTTTCCCCATGAAATTATGAAACAGATGGCTTGTTCTCAAGTGTCCTACATTTTCTCCACACAGTCTCTTCCTCTCCCTGTTACACTCAACTGCCCACTCTCCTAGGAATATTTCCCTTGGTCCACACTCTCCTAGGAACATTTCCTTTGGTTCATTAGCACAATCTTGTTGTAATTAGTTGAGATCAGGCAAGCCGTCCCAGGAGATGCTTACATTTTAATACAAAAAGCATTAACACTGAGCCTTTGAAAGATTATTATTATAGTCCCTAGGTACTAAGGCATATAATGGTAGAGATATTTTTCAGTTAATTCTAGTTTTTTTTATATTACTTGTGACATACTTGATGTCTATCTCCTTCTTATGTTCTACCCCCTATGATGCCATTCACCCATTGGTGAACTGGGGTCCTAAACACTCTGAGGATTCTATCAAGTCCCATTGGTTTCATTTTGTTCCAGTGAACAAGTCCCATTTCATTTTCGAGAATGAAACCTGTATCAATAAAGTGTTAAATGCTCTTTTGGACAGGATGTTTGCTAACACTGAAACAAAAAGCATCTTATCATTATTCCTTAATAATCTTCTACCATATAACTTGTATCAGTTTTTTTCTTTCAGCCCCAAATGGAGGAAACACAGTGTGATAAGTTGTGGAACTCCAAGGTATTTATTAAATAGGTCACATTACATAAAATCTAAAACACACTCACATGGTCATGGGAAATTGCACAGAAAAAAAAAGGTATCCATCATCTGTACTTGTATCACATACCC